CATCATTATAGTGACATAAGAAGTTTGACTCTTACATGTTGAAGATTGACATGTGGTGCAATTTTGACTATTGTATTTATATGAGAACTTATAGTGATCATTCTTGAATTATTTTGTTGTACTATGTTATATATATTTATTATTTTGAAGAATACACATAAGATTATTAGGTTGAAGGTATTATTAAGTAGTGAATTTGACATAATTTTTTTTGAAGTGATAAAGAAGATCCTCAATATGGAGATCTATAGAGATTATGAGAGAGGTAAGCTATAGTTGACTTTAAAAAGTTATTTTTCAAAGGTGTCAAACTTTTTTGACATAGGTAGTGCTAAAATAGTAAACATTCCTCTAGTCAGTCATTTTAGGTTATCTATCAATAACATTTGAAGAATATATTACTTAGATGAAATAAATTTCTTATGTTAGTATAATTGGCTCTCTTATGTATGGTATAATTTGTATAAAGCCATATAGTAATCATACAGTTGAGCTTGTAAACAGATTTATAGGTAATATAAGGAATGAGTACTTGAGTGTAGTGAAGTAGAGTCATTGATATCTAAAGGATTCTTTAAATTTTAGAATCTATTTTAACTAACAAAGTTATCTTTTTGTTATTAATGTTGTTGATATAGATTTTGTTAAAGGTTTAGATCATCAAAAATTTACAATTGATTACGTTTTCACCATAGTTGGTGATCATATAGTTTAAAGTTTATATTAAGATTATTATTATATTGTCTACAATTGTGCTAAAGTATATGATAACTACTGAAGCACTAAAAAGGTTTTGTTGCTGAAAGGTTATTGAGCAAACTTGAGATCTAACATTGTGATGTTTCTTTACATTGTGATAGTCAAAGTGTTATTTACTTTGTTAAAAATGAAGTCTATTATGTATAGTCAAAGTATACTGACATGAGATATCACAAGATTTGTGAGTTGATGAATTATAGAGATATCTCTCTAGACAAGATTCACACGTAGGAAAATGTCATGAATTTATTGATGAAAGTTATTGTAGTGAAGCAGTTCAAATATTATTTGGATTTGATTCATGTTGTAAGTATCTTGTAAAAGATGAAAATCTTATAACATGGATGGACTCCGGTATAACAATGATGGCTACCAAGATAGAGTTTGTTAATGGTATCAGCCCATCACATTTAACTCGTTCTAAAAATATGTGAGGAATCTCTTCTTATTTGACCTATTCAAGGGACGTGTAAGGAGTGGTGGGCAGTGTCATTTCATCCCTATTGACCTATTTGAAGGTCGTGTAGGGAGAGAGAGTAGGAAATGAGGGTGGTTGAAACCACCACCTTCTAGATGTGTGGGCCTACTCACACATAAGTTGATAATGACTCCTTTTTAGGGAACTATTATTTTTCCTTTTTCCTAAAAAAGAGATTTGTCCTTTTTTTTGAATGGCAACGAATACATAATATTTTATTCTTCTTAAGATAACTTCCCTCTTTCTTAGTTCTCTCATCTTTCTATCAAATCTTCTCTCCTTTTTTTAGCTTTGTTCTATTTTTCTATTATAGGTGAAATCCTGATAGAAGAAGAGAATAATTTATTACTAACCCAATAATATGTGAGTCATTTCAAGAGTATTAAGATGTGAAGAAAAGGCATTTTGGTGGAAGAGACTTACTCTCATTAAGATTTCTTATAACTTGGTGATTTTTCTTTCAATACTTATTCTCACTAATATCTAGAAATTGACTTTTCATTATTATTGTGATCCTATGTATACATATTTTTTTTATAATATGACTCAATTTATATATAATTTTATTACATGCAATCTATAAAGGGTAATATGATACAAATAAAAAGATTTAATATCTAATAAAAAAATGCATCAACATCAGACACCTATTTTTTTCGAAGGAGAAGGAGAAAAGAATTATGCAGTGATTATTATATCCTCGACCGTCAGCTTACCTTTCATGACTATATCACATTGGTCACAACTTCATTGGTTACCATTTACTTGATGTATGTACAGAATTTTGAACTTTTTTTGGGTGCAAAAATGACTCATCAATCAGAAAATCCATGGATAATCAAATCCTCTCACGGTGATGACTGCGAAGTGGTCGATACGAATATCTTCGAGCATGTCATGCTTGCAACAATTTCACTCCTCCATCCTTGATTTATTCTTTTCCCTTATCCGTGCCAATTTTGTTCCCCTTGTTGTTGGAAAGCAGAGAGAAAGAGTATCTTTAATAATGAAAGAAAATGTAGAAATCATTTACAATTGGAAGCTACAAAATCTATGTGAAGTTGTAAAGTAGAATACATACAATGAATATAAGGAAACAACACAGTACAAAAAGGGTTCCAAAGACACGAGCATATTGAGGCCCCTCGTTTGCATGTGCATTATCTAGTAGAGGAACACTCGTGTGTTTGTGTATTTGTACATCCCTCTATTTCTGACCGTTGGTATGGAGGAAAGTTCGGAAGGTTTTCGCAAGTTTAGTTGAGAAAATGTTCGAGGAGAAATATATTTGAAGACTATGGCTTGGAGCGAGACGAATCACACAGCATTGATGGATGCAAAAGTCAAATCCATAACTCAAAAGCAGGATTTTTCCGTATTGCCCTTCATAAAATCATACTAAAAAGTGTCATGTTTAGTGGGAACACCTTTCGAGTGTGAGAAATGAGTACTCCGCACGGGCATAAGATGACAAATTGGAGACGCGGAAGTCTTGCGGCGTAAGATGGCGTACGTTCTGTGGACAACGAGTTCGTCCGCTTTGGATGGCTGCCTTAGCTGCCTGCCTTTTTCTCTGTAGTCATCTTACCCTCGTTCATTTCCTGGATGATGCGATCATGTGCATATTGCGTTTTGTGCTCTGTTGACTTTTTCTACGCCCATTCAATGCATATTTGGGTCATCGAAAGGTCCATCTTATGGAAGGAACAGTATAATTCTGATCTTGACGGTCGCGTTGTAGTGTTTGAAGCAGGCATTGCACGTGCTCGTTTTATTTACAGCTCAGCTCAACATACAGGACGCCTCTAAGGGAGGGTACTCCGCACGGGCATGGAGCAGAAGTAATCAACCCCCGGGTAAAAATGTGACACCTTTACCAGAAGAAGCCTGGGATCACTCCGATCGCCGCAGGTTCCGCCGAAGCCCGAGATCTAGACTGAACATCGACCAGTATCGCGGCTGTCGCAAGTAAACTCATCATTGGTCTGTCCCCCCCCCCCCTCCCCCGGCCTTCCCTGCTCCAAAACCACCCTCCTCATTCCTCCGTCCTCCCTCCCCGATTCCTTCCAGGCGCGGGCTCCTCTTCCCCCAGCCGTGGCCCACTTCCCCCACCGCAGCCGGCCAGTGCGGTGAGGTCTGATCTGATCTGGCCCAAGCTTTGGAAAAGTCAGAGCCGCCCTCCCTTCCCTAACTCACCTAACCGCACGCTTTCTCACATGGCTCGCTCGCGGCCTCAGGCCTGTGGTCCCCTCGTCGCCAGTTTGACCTTCAATTACTTCACATTTGTAAGCAGTCGAAGAAAAAAGAGAGGGCCACGAGCATTCAAGGTCTTGTGGGGTTGGCCTGTACTGATTAATCATCTCAGATCACGACTGAGATGCAATTTCAATTGTTATCTGCTGACTCGATCAAAGCTACTGCATGAGTTCCCATCGCGCTTTGTGTCCCGGCAGGAACCGTTTTCCTCGCGACCATCTTCTCCCTTTCCCGCAACAGCAGATCGGGCAGCTCCGGGAGGCGACCGGGGCGGACGAATGAATTTATAAGGCGCGTTCTTCGTGGCCGGCGGTGGCGAAATGGCAACCGGGAGCTGCTTTAAGGAGCAATCAGGAGCGTGCGGGAAACCGCTGTTCCTGGCGATCTACGCCGCCGTCGCCATCGGAACTATTTTTTCCGGCCTCTTCATTCTCTCCTCTTTCTATTCTTCTGGCTTCTACTCGGGCGTGCTCTCCTGGTCACCGTCGTCATCTTCACTTTTCGGGTCCCGTGAGTCATCCTATTTCCCCGTGCTCTCCCTTTCTGTCTCGACCCTTCGGCCCTGAAGGATTTGATGTGCATCAGTTTATCTTCGACGGTCACGGTGATGATCTCATCTCCGTCCAAAGCGCTTTCTTTCTGGGCATTCCCCCAGCGAATGAACTGCGTCTTCGTGTAGCAGTGATTATTGTAGCGTCTGTGATCGCGTTCGACTTTGGACTTGCGGGGAAAGAGAAAATCCTGTGAATTTTGAGATTCTCGGCTTGCTAGATCGGCGTTCTCACTCGTTGGCTTTGGTTTCCGTAAATGCTTATTGTCATCCGGCTGAGGTTTGCCGAAATTTGGGCTTCTTCTTCATCCGGTATTCTCATAGGGGGACGACAATTACTGTTCCTGCTGCCATTTCTCCTGGTTTTTTAAATGCCTGCCTTCGTTTTTTTTTAATTCTTTTTTCATTTCTTAAATTGAGAGAGTCGCTGCTTGTGTGCTTCGCCTGAGATGATCATACAAGGCTTTGGCGGAAACATTCATACATAGGAGCTGCCATTTCTTTTCCTCCGATCAAAGAAGTACAGTTCCAGAAAAAAAAAAGGGGCTTCTGTCGATTCTTTTACTCCCTTCTTCGTCAGTAATATGTCATCCCGTAGATTCTTTTATTTCCTTGTTCGTCGGTCATATCTGATCCCGGTGATCGATCACGTGTCTTCCAAATGCTCTGCCCCCATAGCCCGATATTCTGATTTCTGAGCGGTGTGTCATATTTGATAAGATTGCAAAGCATCCCCTCGTCATGGAGATAGTTCAAGAGGTAGACATTCTTTGGCCCCTACCGTGACTGACAGCTTCACTTTCAATCGGATGTGTAGATTCCACTACCGAACAGGTATCCAACGGCGCCTCTGAGCCAGGGAGGAACCAACGCTCAGGGGCTGATTCCCCGCCAGCAAAGCATTATGCCAGCATATGGCAGAGGGATATATGGGATGCCCCACCTGTAGGGTCGAAAATGCCTCCCCTGGAGTCATTCAGATTGACCAAGGAAGCGGCAAAGCACAGGGTGAAGGACAATGTTCTCATTGTGACATTCGGAAACTATGCCTTCATGGATTTTATTTTGACTTGGGTCAAACACTTGACGGATGTCAATGTCAGCAATCTTCTTGTCGGTAATGTTACTTTTTATTACCCTTTATGCTTGCCTATTAGAATTCTTCCTCAGCGTATCAGGGGAAACGAGTTGAAGGAATTGAAGGTTGCCTTTTTTTATTTAACAGGTGCTATGGACATCAAGCTCTTGGAAGCACTTTATTGGACAGGAATCCCTGTTTATGATATGGGCAGTCACATGAAGACGATTGATGTTGGCTGGGGTTCCCCTGAATTCCATAAGATGGGAAGAGAGAAAGTGTTTCTGATAAACTCTCTCTTGCCCTTTGGGTATGAACTGCTGGTCTGCGACACTGACATGGTTTGGTTGAAGGTATAGTCCAACATAACTGCTTCATTTAGTCAGTGCAATTTAGCACCATTTACCTCTAGTAAATGTTAGAACCCCTCTTGAAATAGATTGTCTTTTACCCAAAAGGATGGAATTCTAATGTGATCGAATGCTTAAATCCTGGATTTAACATTGCAACTTTTCCCTCTGGTCTCATATTCTGTAATAGGTAATATACAGAAACTCTTTTTTAAATCTGACATGTTCTTATACGCATGAGATTTGAGTTAATAAGTGGGTCAGAGCTCAATGAACCTCTTCATTTATTTTTTCCAAACAAAACTGATTAAACTCTTGAAGTTTCAATATTGATTGATTTCCCGTGAGCGGGTCAATGACTGCCATTGCATCATCTATGCACTAAGGAGCCAAAATGGAGAAAACCATCTGCGTGTTGGTCAATAGAATCTCCTCATCTGGAAGCCTAAGCCTCTGAGCCTCAAACCAATTGTTGCTGCAATTTATTAGCTTTTCTGTCTCATGGTAAAATAGCTTTTTCCAAGTAATTATTCCACATTGCGGGTTGGGATTGTGCTCTACTGGCGGCAGCAGCGTCCACATTTAGTTTTTTATTTTGGGAAGTTCATCAAGTCTCGACATTCTCTCTTGTTACTGTATTTAAATCATTATATTTGTGTCAATGATTGACCCTCTATCGAGTCTTTTTCCTCTCTTCCTACTCAAACTTTGATTCCTTTTCTCTTTTTTTTTTTTCTTTCAAAATTTGAGCAGAATCCGCTCCCATATCTTGCTCGTTTCCCCGAAGCAGATATCCTTACTTCATCAGATGAACTAGTACCAAGCGTCACTGATGACAGTTTGGATGATTGGACGCATGGTGAATGACTGGACCGATTCTTTGCCTTCTGCTCTTATTTCTGCCTTTTTTGCTGACCGTAATCCTCTGTATCTTGACAGTTAATGGTGCTTTCAACATTGGAATCTTCCATTGGCGTCCCACTGATTCTGCAATGAAGCTGGCCAAGGAGTGGAAGGATCTCCTCCTTGCTAATGATAAAATATGGGACCAGAACGGCTTTAATGAACTCGTTCGTAAAGTCTATGGTCCTGGTGTCAAAGGGAAAAAGGACCTTGTTTACACATTTGATGGCAAGCTCAAACTGGGGGTCCTCCCAGCGAGCATATTTTGCAGTGGACACACATATTTCGTTCAGGTAGCATCTTAGTTTTCCCCTTCCTAGGAATCCGCGTTCAGATAGAATGTTTCTCTTCACCATCCGGAATAATAAAATCTAAATGCATCACCTAGGGATTATATGGCTGTTCATTGTGGGAATGACAAAGTTATCTGGTGCATTGTATTTGTCATTTTCTATCTTAAGAGATCCACTTATTCGAACACATTTGAAATGGTTCTATGCCATGCACGTTGACTCCATGAACAGGCACAATATCAGCAGCTCCGACTGCAACCCTATGCAGTCCATACCACGTTTCAGTTTGGTGGGACAGGAGGGAAGCGCCACCGATTACGTGAAGCCATGCTCTTCTATGATCCGCCAGAATACTATGATACTCCAGGTGACGTTTTCTGTAACCAGTGATGTTCAAACGCTACTCTTCGAGGCTTGCAGCGTATATTCTGTCACGGATTTCTGTGTCGACATGTTTTACCACGTAGTTGTCATTAGAAGTCAGTCTCTTCCCAGACCAACCCAAAAATAAAATAATTGGAGCTGGAAGCTTGAGGCGGAGTAAATGGAATGCTGTGCCTGCTTATGAAAGCAGCCTTCCTCTGCTTAGATAAGATCACTGCTGTCATCTATGTTTTCCAAAGAACATGGGTTGGTCACTATTATTTTTTCTTATTTTCCATGGCCATGTTTCGGTAGCTCCATATACTGATGTGAATTGCGAAAGAGGAATCTATGCTGTGTCAATATTAAACTTTAGTTTTTGGATTCAGACATAGCATTCAACTATAATGAAAATAGCATTCGGGTTATTAGTTAGATCATTTATTGACATCAATTTCTGCCCATTTACATTCCTGCCTTCCACTAGTGGTACTTTGTTATGATTCATATTGGGCTTGATTGTTCTATTTTTTGCTTTCTGAAAGTGAACTCTTGCTTCAGCTCTACCAGCTCACTAGTATCTTGGTCTGTGCCATATTGTGTTTTGACGTAAATTACCATATTCCTCAAGCCTACTCAACAAAGACAATATGCTTGCACGACCGTTCTTTAGCTCCACTGGATCCATTAAAGGAAAAAGAAATACTTCATCTCTGAAACATGCAGATCAGATTTACAGATACCCTCGAAAGTTATAAGATTCAAGAATCTTTGTGATAGTGAAGAATATCTTCTGTTGTTTTCATTTTTTCGCTTGTGGATCCATTAAATCGTCTTAACTACTCTTCTCTTAGACTTTCCTATGATCACTAGAATATTCATATTCTGTACCAAAAACATCTTACGATTTGTTTAAATTTTAACTGCTGCTATCTCTCTAGACACGGTGTTACAGAGGATTTTTCATGATATCCAGTTTCTAGTTGGTCACCTACGCGAAAGTCGGACTTCCTTAGCCCATGAGAAAACAGCTGCTGAATTCTTTGTACTTCTGCTAGATCACTCTTTCCTTGATTGGGTGCGAAGCTTTTACAGTATATTATCGAAGTTGGATTGCTGATTTTGCTTAAGCATGTGTCTCAGGAGGCTTCTTGTCATTTAAACCACGCATACCGAAGAGCCTGCTACTGGATGGACCACACACGATTCAGTCTCATTTCTCTTTAGTTAATTACCAGGTTTGCACGATTCTGACCTCAGTGTTTCATACTAGAGACGTGCTTCAATATCATGAAGTTTTGATGTTTCGTGATCGTCTCTGATAATGGATATGAGAACAATGCATTCCTTTTAAAATTTTCAGATGAAGCAAATAAGGACTGCACTTGCTATTGCGTCACTGCTGAAGCGGACACTGGTGAGTCCTGATCTTGGATTGGGGATACTGTGGTGCTAAATATGGTTATCTTATCAACAACAATTTTCTACAATATCAATTGGTATCCCATTTTTTAATGTCTTTGTTGCGTGAGTGACTCATGCAAGGATGCAGAGAAAAAAAAAAAACTGTGCGCGTGTGATTCTGTGGCATACAAATTTGAATGAACTTGTATGAATAGTTTTTTTATGTTTTGATGTCACAACATCTCCGTGAATCTTGGTTCCAATGTGTGCATTGATTCATTAGAAGCGTAGTTTGTTGGGTTAGGGCCAGGGCTAGTGCAAGGATTTGTGAGGTAGTATTACTCATTTTGTAAGTTGCAAATGCTTTGATGCCCCTGAGGAGAGTGCACCTGCTACGATTGTGCATGCTATGGGAGGAGTTGGCGAATGATTTCTGACGTTTCGTGTGAAAGTCACAGCAGAAAGATGATGCAATAAGTTTCTCTTCTTCACCCGGTTAACCATAATGACGCCATCTGTTATCAGGGGGATGTGCCTTGTGTACATATCATGACGCTTGCTTGTAATCATCTGCAGGTGATGCCTCCACTGTGGTGCAGACTGGATAGAATATGGTTTGGACATCCTGGAGTTCTGCCGGGGACTTTGACCCGGCAGCCCTTCCTCTGCCCTTTGGATCACGTGTTTGAGGTATTTCCATCTCTGAACCGTCCATCCAGTAATTTTCCCTTCGTACGTGGGAGGAGAATGATGTCTTGTCGAGTAGATGGAAAGCTCCTCCATTGTTTGGCCATTGTTGAGTGTGCATAATTTTTTAATGGGGGACTTAATCTATATGCATTATTATTATAGTTTCGACACTGAAGGGGCAACCACGCTGGTGATCACTTGTGGAAACCATGCTCAGAATTCTATCAAAATTCTAAATTATAATCTATCAAAACCATGTCCACTTACTGTCGGAGTATTATTTTTAATTGCCTCTTACTGTTCTATGGTTGGGAACGCGGTTCTTCTATTCAGACTAGTTGACAGGGTTGGCCGTCTTTCTTTCTTTCTGATCGGAAGGAGAAAACGCAACAGGTCTGCTACTAAAAGAGAAGTCAGATTAAGATTACTACTCAATAGTTTTCCCTTGTTTCGAACTTCCTACTGTGAATGAGATCCTCTCTACTGGTTTTAGCACAACTACTGTCAAAAGTACATGACACGAAGCTTTCTTCCAGCTCAGTAAATCTTCTGCAGCATTCAGCTGTTGGAGTGCCGAGGAAGAATCCTCGGATGCTAGAAAGACCCAATCATTGCGAACTAGCCCCAGACGTTCTTTACAGAAGAGGGCGGGGGTATGTATTATAGAGGGCGATGGCATTTTAAAAGAGGTTTAGTGTGTTAACAAAGCTTCCCTTAAAATGATAAATAGATGCCTTCGCGGACGTAAATTAGGTCCCGCATAGTAGAGCGGGATTTTTACGCACCTTACGATGATTGGATCCACAGGTTAACGGGATGATCTACGTTAAGCCAAATCCGACCTTTGACTTAATCGTAGCTGACTGTTTTTCCCATGCAACTGAAAAGTTGAACGGATGCGTTTTAGCCCTTCTTCACTCGTCACCTCTCACTTTCGAACTATTTTTGAATTTATGGATTTCTCGGAATTAGGCTGATTTGGAGTTTCATTGCCCACCAGTTCTCCTTATGAAGCTATATTTGTTACCCAGGTGAATACCATGCTGGAGAATTCATCAGAAGAAGATTTTGGCCCAGGCATTGATTTTAGGGAGTATTCCTTCTTTGACAATCCAATGTTGCCCGAGGGGGTAGGTACCCTGACCCCCCCTCTCCTTCTTCCTCCTCGAAGCGAGAAGGGAAGTCTCCTCCAATTCAGAGCATACTAACAGTGACTATTACAGGTAAAATCCTCATGGTTGGAGGTTAAACTTCGTGAAGAAGAGGGATCTAGGAACTGCAGTGCAGGGAACCAATGCAAACCTGGGGTGGTCAGTTTGCCCAAGAACAGCAGTGAAGAAATGGTATTAATTCTTGTCTCAATCCCTCCCTCTAGCCGTTAAATTGCTGTTTCTCTGTTTTCGCCCGAAAACGATCCAGGCTTTGCCATCCAAGAAAGCTCACAGTGATTCACATCAACTGCTATCGTCTGTTGAATTGCACGTTTTACTGCAGTTATTTTATCTTGAGAACGGCACTTCAGCTGAACCAGGGAGGCAGCTGAAAGATGATGATGATGATGATGATGATGATGCCACGATATGATTAACTTAGAGTTTCACATAGACCGTGGACCTGCGTTCATATAGCTCGATAAATTATAGTGATTTCAAGATTCCTCGTGCTCTTGGTCTTGCTCAGAGGCTTCCTAAACCTGTGGCTGGTTTCATTTCAGCTGGTGCAGCTGTTGTCTCCCCACAGCGGCGTGAAAGTCATCGAATTCTCCTCCATGCAAGACGCATTTCGAGGTTTTTCCTCCGAGGCAAGATCTCTCCCCCCAATACATGGTCGCGCAATCCACGCGAGGGATCCTCCCCCCACCGTCGGCTAAGTCTCTCGTTTGGTGCTCCTCTGGAAAACCAACCATTAGGTGCGGGAGCGGAGATTCAGAAAGCGCGTGAAGAGGTACGTTGGAATCTGGTGCTGTCGGGAGAATCTGAAAGTTGGCCACATATTCTACGACATGTACTGGGACGAGAAGCCCGGCTGGAAGCCAGAGCCGCCCAGAACCGAGGAGGACCACCCACCATGAAACCCACCCAGATGGCGGCATGCTCTTTCTGACGAATCTACCAACTCCCGGTGGGTTGGGTTAGGTTGGGTTGTGTTGTGTTGTGTTGGGCACTCACCGGAGGAACTACACCCCGAATTTTGAGTTGAGGTTGGAGGTCCCACTGCCAGCATTCATCTCGCGAGGATACCCCCCCTTCATTAGACTATTCCTGTGGGAAATCTACCAGTCTCTTCTTCTTTTCCAGCTTGTTGGTCTTACTTGCCGAATTCTTAAACCCGACTACCTGCCCACGCAATTCCCACACACCAACTTAATTGACGCCCCCATCAAACAGGGAGGGATGAACGATTTGGGAGGCCTCCTACACACTGGCTCTATCCGTTCTTCTTCGTAGGAGATGCCAGCCCAGCCATACGGGGGAAGACCCTGATCTGTGTTCCCCTTCATCTGACGATAAGGATCACATCACTGGAAAGTAGTAAATATTACACAAGAGAATAACCCTCCTCGCCTGTTCGTGTCAATCACACCTCGGGACGTTCTCTCAGAGCCAGATCCAATCGCCAGAAGCGGCGACGACGCCGCTCCTCCACGGCTTGTTTTGTCCCCATGAATAAAAGGCCCCGCCCACGGCTTCGGCGCCATAGAGATGCGGGGAGATACTCCAAAGTGTGTGTGTGTGCATAGGCCGCCGGTTTTCCAGACAATTTGCGAACAGATGCTCAACTACTCCCTCACAGCACCTGGCAGATGACATGCTCGAAGGCTGCAATACGAGAAAAACAGGGGTCATCTTCGGCCGACGTCTGTCGACGGATTTCAATCACAGCATACCCAATAGGAAGAGACAGGGAGGGAGTCAAGAATAAGTGTAAAATCCAGTACAAACATACCTGTAAGAAATACTGCGACGGAGTAAAGCAGGCCACCAGAATCCACATGGTCGCCTTGTCGAGAAAAAGGCATCTTCAACATTCCGCATCACCATTAATGCTCGAACGGTTTCCTTCCCTGCAGGCAGCACCAATATATTGAGATGAACATTCAAAAAAAAAAAGCAGGCCCTGATGGCATTGAGCCAATAAACAGATGAATGCACACTTAGCCAGTGCTCCATACATGTTGTCGTCCGGCATATTCCTCTTCTTCCTACCCGTGTCTTCGCGACGGGCACCTTTAGCCTGGACCTTGCTCTGTTGCAGCTTCAGAAGGGGCATCTTGTATTGCATCTTCTGAATTCTGATCCTCTGCATGCTTGGGTGCTGTCCCTTCTTCGGCACACTCTTAGACACCATTAGGTCCGCAAAGGCCTTCTGAAGTGAGGCCTTGGCAACCCTGTAGATTTCCCCAGAGATGGCCCCTTCCATCCCATACCTGATGGCATCGCGGCAGAGGTCATTGTACCAGGCAACCAGGTGCTCCTGGAAACTAAGTCCTGTATCAGCCGCGACCTCTTCCAGGGCGTCGTCACCCCCAGTTGTGGCATTCTTTGTCCATCGCTGTAATATGTACTTCTCCGGGAGGATGCGGACGCCCACTATGAAGAAGACTCTCAAGACATGCCTGCACAGGATCCCGCAAGACTCGAACTTGGAACAGCTGCAGGCCGCTTGCTTCTCGGGCTCATGGAGGCTGACGACGTACGTCTTGCTCGAGTCCTCCTCCTTTGTGACGCTGAACTTGGAAATAGGGTCGTCCTCAATCTTCTCAACAAAGTATCCCAATGACTGGACAAATTCCTCCTGAAACTTCTCAAAGACTGCACCCGTGTAAACCTCAGCCGCCTGCTTCTCCATGGGAGACGGTGTCTTGAGAGATGGCCTTGTGTATGCCGCGGAAAAATCAGCCTGCGCCTCCTTCTCATACTGATTCGCAGTAGTCTGCTCGAATCGCGTGACGAACGACAACAGAGATGTCTTCGTATTGAAATTTCTCTTGAAAAACTTGTTCAAGCTCTCCAGCCTCTGCCCCCCACACAGCTCAGGGAAGAAAGAGTTTTTGAGGAAAACTGTGACCCACTGATTGCGGATATCATGCAATGATTGCAACCACGCATTCTCCCACAGATTGTACTTGGAGAGGATGGATTCCCAGCAAGCTTCAAACTCTTCGACCGTTTCCGATTCGTTCACGCAGTGCTTCAGGTCCCACTTCAACGAGGCGTGCTTCGAGTAGACATCGGAGAGCTTCTGCTTGCATCGACTCAAGATGTGCCACTTGCAAAAGTAATGGTAGACGTTGGGGAACACCCTGGTGATCGCCCCTTCCATGGCTTTGTCTCTGTCTGTAACCAGTGAAACGGGGTGTCGGCCGCCCATGGCCGCCAGCCATGTCTCGAACAGCCAGATATATGAGCCCTTCGTCTCGTCCATGAGCAGCGCGCACCCAAAGGTGACCGACTGTAGATGATGATTCACGCCTCTGAATGTGGCAAAGGGCATCATGTACTTGGTCTTCTTGTAGGTTGTGTCGAAGGTAACGGAGTCCCCGAAATAGTTGTAGGCCAGCCGGGCCTTTGCATCAGCCCAGAAGACATTCGTCATACAGTTGTTGTTGTCGACCTGTATGGCGTAGAAGAATGCCGGGTTTTCGGCCTGCATCCTCTTCAGGTACTCCAAGATGCTCTGAGCTTCCCCGCCCTCGCCGAAGGGGTTAACTCTGATCCCTCTGTTGAAGTACTTGAGGTTGTTGAACACCGCACTGGCATCCCCCGCCAGAGCGGCCATCGCGCTGCTCTGCACGGACAGCTTCTCTGGGCGAGGTCGGACTTTGCTCGGGAACATGACCACGTGAGTGTGCTCGGTGACGAGCTTGCTGACGACCCACTTGCCGTGCTCCTTCTTGATCACCTCGATCATGGCCATGCAGCCCTCCCTCGTCGTCCCCCTCTTCCTCTTCTTCTTGCCGTCGTCGTAGATGACTCTCTTCGAGTGGAAACCTTCCCTAGTGCAAACGAACCGCCGCATGATCACGGTGTCGTCTCGCCTCGAGCGTCGCGATTTGTTCATCCGGACGCCGAAGCCGACGCGGGCTGCGTAGGCCACATAAAACTCCTTGGCTGCCTCGTCGGTGTCAAACTCCATGCCCACGGCCGGCTCGGCCACGTCCGGGCACTCCAACTGGAGCCGCTGGCTGGCTATGAGACCGCCGGCTTCGACCACGAGGGAGGTCACGTCCAGGGTCATGCTGGGGCAGGCGGAGTTATCATTCAGGTCCACGTTGTTGTCCCTCAGGAACGAATCTTCCTCAGCGACGCTGGTCTCCATGGACGTCGATCAGTTTGGAAGAGAGCACCGAATTCGGTCCCCCTCGTAGATCGAAACTAGTCTCTCCTCTGGTTCATGGATCGCCAGACATGGCGCTTCCTCGATTGACCGGGAAACCAATCAAAATGGCAACCCCCCCTTCCCAAGCCACAAACTGAGAAAACGAACAACGAAAATAATAACAAAAATCAAACCCCCACACTGTAGAATTTTGGGGAAACTTTTAAATACCCACCAAGGGGAAGCGCCGCCCCTCCATAGAACAGTCCCCCCGCCGAACCCGGCGATGAGAAGTTTCTCTCGAAAATCTAACCCAGGACGAGAGAAGCAGGAGGAAGTGTTACCAGACGGCGAACTACCGCAGAAGTCGGAAATGCCCAGGACAGGACGCACTCGCAGCTCCAGCGATTACCCCTCCCTCCGTCCTGGCTTCCCAATTAGGGTTCTGACCGCGGGCCTTCAGAGCAAGGGAAACGCGGTGATCTCGCTTCACGCTCGGGGCCGTCGATGAACAAAAGAGAGAGACATATATAGATATAGAGAGAGGCTAGCGGAGCAGTGCCGGAGGACGCCGGCGGGATCCGAGGAAGGCCACGGCGGCGCCGCCGGGTAAGATGGGCGGCGCTGGAAGTCCGTTTCGACGGACGGACGCCGCCGAGGAACCCATGTTACTTTTAGCCGACCTCGCTCTGCTTCGGCAAGCGGAGGGATTTATGGGCTTTATGGAGGAAGTCGGGCTGCGAGTCTGTTCCGGCCCACAAGACGTGGGGTATATGTGATATTTTATTGAAACAGATAGCGTGTGAGAAATGAAAATTAGAAGGGGTGGCTCCGCTCTTCCGCCTCTTCTTCGCCCCGTCTGTTTGCCGTGCGGAGCGGTTAGCATTAGGGTATCGTCACGTCCCCAGGCCGGGGGGCGTCGCTCGCCAGGGTCTGCGTCGTGAGCTCCCGCGATCCCCTCACCGCCCCCAACCCACCGGGAGGAGGAAGATAATCCAGAGCGCGAAGCCCCGCCCCTCCCGCGCTGGTGAGTGCTCCCCACTCCTACCGCCTCCCCGTCTCCTCCTTCCTTCTCCCCCAATCTTTCGGTCGATCCGTCTTCCTCTTTCCCGGGCAAAAGGGCGGGATCTGTCCGCGTTTCCATCCATCTGATCCTCCCTCGCCCCAGCCCTCCCGTTCAGCTGGCCCCCGATTCCAGCCCTCCCGTTCATTTGGTTTGAGGAAGAACCTTCTTCCTGGATGGAATCGGGGGCCTGGATTTCTCGATCTCAGCTCACTTTGCTCGGCTGCTGATGCATTCTTTTGGGGTTTCTATTGCTTCCTCTTCTTTCATCGTCTCCATTTCTCGTTGATTCAGAAGAAAACCGGATCACTCTCCGTCGTGGATGCCACTACAATCTTCCTTCAGTTTGGGCTTGCCCTGTCTGATCTGCCAAGGGTGTGTCTTCCGGTGACCTCATGAATTCCCTCGGCCTTAAATTATTGGCGCTGTCGTCTCCCGGGGGCGCCATTGATTCCATTCTCTCGAGCGTCGACCGCGAATGTGAGATTATGCTGCATGTGAGGGGCGACAGTGGGAGGAATCGAGCGCATCGGACTCTCGCCGATCGATTTCCATGGGTTGAATCCCTCTCTGGTGGGGAGCTGCAGGTGGTGGTAGAGGCTTATTATATGAGGAGTGTTCTTCTTCATCAGAACCGAAACAGTGTGCATCTCGCCCGTCTGTCACGGGCTTCGTGATGGCACTCTGGTGGGTGGCCTTCCGTTGCCTACGACCAGCCAGAAAGAGAAAGTTCGTGATCCACACATTCCTTTGCTTAGGGCTTTTTCTCCTTTTCTGCCCCCCTTTGGTGGGTTATTATGGAGTAGATGTTTTCATTCTCCATCCATGTTCTTCAATCGCAATCGCAATCCTTCTTGCTCGTTTATCACACATAACGTCGCCTAATTTCCCGTCTTTGCTTCGTTCGTTCGTTCGTTCGTTCATCAGGCATTGTAGGATCTGTTTTACCGCATGTTTCTTCAAACCATCGCTCTGCAGTGTACATATATGTGAACTGCAACTGCGGCTTTTAGATTAATCATCTACAGCTTGCAAGCAAGAGAGAGAGAGAGAGACACACACACACACACAAGTATCAATAAATCCTCTCATTTTTCGTCTGTAGGCTCTGCAATATCCACCGACATGGATGCCAATGGAAGCGGGGATGATGGGCTGATAGAGGAGCATGTGGATCTTGAGGACGACAGCATCAATTTCTGGGCAACGCTGGGCGTCAGCCCCCACGTCCATGTTTCTGTCGGGGAGCATGAAGCCCAGATGCAGGAGCATATGGACCACTCCTCCCTGGAGGTGGTGGACACTAATGCCCGGCGGGATCTTTTCGATACGGACGGCGACCACCGGCTGGAGCCCTACGTGGGCATGGAGTTCGAATCCGGGGAGGCGGCGAAGACCTTCTACATCGCCTACGCCGGCCGCATCGGGTTCTGCGTTCGCATAGCCCGGTCGCGGCGCTCCAAATGCAACGAGACGGTGATCATGCTCCGCTTCGTGTGCTCGCGGGAAGGCTGGAGCAGAGAGAAGCGCATCGTCGAGGGGAAGAAGACGAGGAAGCGGGCGGCCTCCATCCGGGAGGGCTGCAAGGCGATGCTCGAGGTGATCCGCAAGGGTGACGGCCGGTGGGTGGTCACCAAGCTGGTGAAGGAGCACAACCACGAGGTGGGGATGCCGAGCAGGGTCCACTACATCGCCACGGAAGGGGACGGCGCAATGGAGCCGTATCTGGGCATGGAGTTCGACTCGCTGGAGACGGCGAGGACCTTCTACTACGCCTACGCAAGCCGCGTGGGCTTCGAGGCGCGCGTCCGCCAGTCCCGCCGCTCCCTGCACGACGAGACCCTGAAGATGCTGAAGCTGGTCTGCTCCAAGCACCGATACCACTCCGGCAGGGAGAGTTTCGAGGACGGCAAGCTGGGCCAGGGGCACCACCACCCGGATCCCTCCTCCTGCAGGGACGGCTGCGACGCCCTGTTCGAGATCATCCGCAAGGACGGGGGGAAGTGGGTGGTCTCAAAGCTCATCGTCGATCACAGCCACCCGCTGGCGCCGGCCCCGCCGAGCCGGGTGAGGTGCGTCCGCTCGCAGGGGGAGATCCTCGTCATCGCCAAGAACTTCGCCGACACGCGCAACCTCCTGCTGAACCGCCAAGAGTCCCACTTCCCCAGGGAGGTCCGGTACAACGACCTGGGCCCCGAGGACGCCCAAGGTCTCCTGGAGTACTTCAAGAAGGCCCAGGCCGAGAGCCCCGCTTTCTTCTACTCCCTGCAGGTGGAGCACGGCTACATGGTCAACATCCTCTGGGCGGACGCCAAGGCCAGGATGGCCTATCACTACTTCGGCGACGCCGTCACCTTCGACACCTCCTCCGTGAACGACAAGAACATGATCCCCCTGGTGACCTTCGCCGGCGTGAACCACCACCTGCAGCCCGCCGTGTTCGGCTGCGCCCTGCTGGTGGACGACTCCGAGGCGTCCTTCGTCTGGCTGTTCGAGAACTGGTTGCTGGCCATGTCCGGCCGCGCTCCGGTCTCCTTTGTGACCGATCTCAACTCCTGCATGGCGGCGGCGGTCTCCAAGGTGTTCCCCGGCACCCGCCACCGCTTCTGCAAGAGCAGCGTCATCAGGAGGATACATGAGGAGCTCTCCGACGTGTGCGGCGCGCACGCCGGCTTCGGGGCGGACCTGAGCCGATGCGTCGACGAGACCGAGTCCTGCGAGGCCTTCGACTCCTGCTGGGAGTCCCTCCTCGACAAGTACCATCTCAGAGACAACGCCTACCTGCAGTCCCTGTACGACATCCGCCACCACTGGGCCCCCGCGTACCTCAAGGACACCTTCTTCGCCGAAGTCGTCGGGACCACGCGGCCGGAGAGCGTCGTCAGAGCCGCCGACAAGTACCTCACCGCTAAGACACAGCTGCGGGTGGCCGTCAGGCAGCTCGGGCAGGCGTTGGCGTGCCGTTACGAGAAGGAGGCTCAGGCCGACTTCGACACCCTGTTCAACAAGCCTTTCTTGAAGACGGCCTCCCCCATGGAGAAGCAGGCGGCCGGCATCTACACGAGGACGCTGTTCGACAGGTTTCAGGAGGAGTTTGTGGAGTCCCTGGGCTACCATGTGGACAAGATCGAGGACGGGATCGTCAGCAAGTACTGCGTGACCAAGACCGTCGACGCCCGCGGCGCCTACATGGTCAGCCACAACGCCTCCTCCAACAGGGCGACATGCAGCTGCGGTATGTTCGAGTTCTCCGGCATCCTGTGCCGGCACGCCCTGCGGGTCTTCATCATCGTCGGCATACGCACGCTGCCGAAGGATTACATCATCAAGCGCTGGACGAGGAACGCGAAGAGCAACGTGGTTTCGGAGGAGTGCAGCGCCGGCGGGCTCTGGGGCGGCGGCGGCGGCGGGGCCGCCGGTGACGATCCCTCGACCGCGAGGTACAACGACCTGTGCCGCGAGGCGATGAAATGCGCCAAGGAGGGGGCGTCCTCGACGGAGTTTTACAAGGTCGCCAAAGAGGCGCTGCAGAGGGCCTTCGCCGAGGTCATCTCCGCAAAGCAGAAGAAGGAGCAGCAGACATTACAGAACTTCATCAAGTCGCAGAAAAACAGGAAGCAGGGAAAGCTGTCATCTCAGAAGAGAGGTATGGGTGCGAAGGGTGTGAAGAAGCGCGCGTCGAGGGCTGGGGCGGTGGAGAAGGAGAACAGCGACACCGACAAGAAGGATTCGGTGGTAGCAGAGGCCGCAGGCTGATGTTTATTTAACTTAGAGACAAACCATTTTCGTTGTAAACAAGCAGAACCAGGAAGAGGAGAGTAGATGTGATGTAGGCTACCAACCAGCACATTGTGTGGACGGCTGATCGAAGGTACAGAATAGATACGGGCGTTGACCTCCTCGCGTTTCCCCTGTTTATGCAGAAATATTAGCCCTCCGAGTCCAAATCTTGGCTAGTCGTCTTTTCTCTACTCAACCAGCATTGTTTGCTGCCGAAGAACGTCCACTCTGTTTGGCCCCTCTTTCTCTAGGTCTTGTTGTCTCAAGAGTCTCTCAATGCGTCGCAGAGGAGTGGGTCGAGTCAGTAGGATGAGGGATAGCCGGATGAGGAGCGGGCAGGAGTGGGGGCCAACTTTGGTTGACTTACCGAAGAAGGCCGCCGGAGCGGTCAACATCCCAACGCGGTCGGAGTGTCGACATCCGATTTGCTGATTCCACCCGTTTGGAGAAGTCCGGTCTCTGGGTGATATGATCCGTTACGGGTCGGATGATCTGCCAGGAACGGCCGTCGGCGAGGGACATCTTTCGCAATTTCGTCGTCTTGGGGAGCTAAACTAAATCATTAAGATAGTTCCCAATCCTAATCAAGCAGCAGCCGCCGCCTCGGCGCCCGTCCTCTCTCTCCCTCTCTCTCTCTCTGTGTCAAAACCGGCACCTCACCGCTACTAAGAAGAGTGGGAAGATCCATTGGATGCGTGGAGCATTGAATAGAGAGGTTGGCAGTGAATGTAGCTCATAGCTTGTCTGGGAGCTTCGTGCTTTCCAAAGTGGTCCGTCTGTTTCTCGATCTACCAGTCCGCCGCTTTTCGCGGCGGCTCTCGCTTCCTCCCTAGGTACCATCAGTTCGTTTCCATTGGCTCTTTCTCTGTGTGTCTTAATCTCTGCCCTGCCTTCTTCTTTCCGTCCGCTACGGACTTTGGCTTGATCACTTCTTCTGCTCAGATAAAAGCAAGACACGCACTGGAAGCTTGAGAATCGAGCTTGGTTTCTTCGTTGCAAACCTTTTTGGCCCCATTCGCAGCGTATCATCTGACTGAGTCCATAATGGAATGCAGCTTGCGATGCATCCTCCGAGTTCGTCGGTTGTCTCTCTCAATGCCTCAGTGTGCAGAGATTTTCTTCTTTTTTCCGCTCTTGTTTGGTGTTTTTTCTTCACTTTGTGGGCTTTTGCTGAAATTTGCTTCTTGCTTGCTGGCAAGACCTTTTAGGGCTCGACCCTTTGGACCTCATGGGTAACGAGTGAATTCTCATTCTTACAATCCCTCATCGTGTTCTGGTGGGGATTGCTTCATTTCGTTCTTTGGACGATGGGAATGTTCTCGGTTTCGTTGCGTAATGTAATTGCTCGCTGACAGAATACGTGAACGATGGCATTTCGTTCGGCTGGTTTACTTGGAGTTTCTATTTTTCCTTGTCGAGGGTAGGGTCACTCCCAAACTATCTAAAAACGGAAACTGTATCACTGAAGAATTCTTTAAGCTACACTTGTGCCAGCTTAAGCCTTTCCTACTTCTCCTTTAAATGTTTTGGAGCCGAAAAAATAAATGTGGCGGCGACAGTTAATAGAATTCCTCCTCATGAGGCGCCTGTCTGCTCGAATGGAATTCTCTGTGCGGATACCACTGCCTGCTGTTCAAAACTTTTCATATCCGCTTCTGGGGCATGGTTCAAAAGTATTTGTGACGGTTTTATAGCCAAAAGGAGTTTTTACTGTTTTTTGGTTAGAACAAATATCTATGTCCTTAACTTTCTTTATTACGTATGGGTAACTTACAGCCCAGCAGCCCCTTCGATGTGGACGATTTTCTACTTGTATTTTGAGAGAATGAAGAATAGGGTAACAAAGGCACCGTGGGTCAGAGTAGTAGCCTTTATGATACAGTAAAAAGCAATACTCGGGATCTGCATCTTGCATGCAACCTCATTACATGGACTCCGCTTGCATCATTAATTTCTGCTGAGGTTTTGAGTCCAGCATTCTTCAAGGATGCAGCCTTTTTCTTTTCTTCCCTCATTGCAGACTGTATTTATTTAGTCTCTTCACCATTATGCTGTCCCTTTTAATTTTCCTTTACTTGATGGTGGCCATATTGGTGGAAATTTGTTTGACACTTGGTGGAAACTTATTTTCCGTGTTTTCTCTATTTAATGCAGCTCAACGACTGAATGGTTTCTTTTGGGCTTCTGAGCTGGTGAGATTTCATGCAATCTAATAAAAAGTTGGTCACTTAAGAGAGCATATGGACAAAGTTTCTTCTGATTGTCCATACCCTGGATGCTTCTTCTGTGTCATGAAGGAGGGAAATCCAAATAAACGCAGATCAAGTATAATAAAGTTTTTCAGAGAACTTCCTTCTCAGGATGATGACGGGCAGGTTCTTCCCATCAGTGGGCTTTGGAACACCGCTATGTCTCATCCTAATGATCCTGAGTTCATTGACCTCGGAATATTTGAATGCATGTCTTCATTGATATGGAAGGGTCTAAAAAATCGGCGTTGGCTTTCTCATGATCAGAACATTTATATTCCATATTATGCCGCTCATATAATTGGATCTTACACCATGAATATGGAGGAATTCGCTGAAAGTGCAGTTCATGCTGGGATCATACCCCCTTTGGTTGAACTATTGAGAGGAAGGTTAACGTGGGTTGAGCAAAGGGTTGCGGTCAGAGCCCTAGGACACTTGGCTACATATGCCAGCACATTTCCTGCGGTGGCAAGTCATGGGGAAGTTCTGGAGCTTTCCATTCAGCTCGCAATGAGTTCCTTGGAGATTGTTTACTCGCATTTCTATCAATATCCCGACAGAAGACTTAGCTACCACTGTGATCTTTTGACACGTGGCATGGGTGGAGTGGAGATGGAATCCAGGAAGGCTGAAGAATGGGCGAGTCAGTTGCAGTGCTGGTCTCTTCAGTTGATTAATTGCTTTGCTTTCAAGCAAGAGTTTCTTTCTGTTATATGCAAGCCGGAGTTTTTGATTAAGTTACCTAGTATGTGGGGAGGACTTGTTAATGAGAATTCACCCGCTGGTATTGGTTTACTCCGAACAATTTGCCATCATAAGCTGGGCAGGGGTCCTGTTTCTGGTTTACCATCTGTTATTGAAGCACTATGCAGCATTGCCCGTTCCTCAGATGACTGGCAATACATGGCTGTCGATTGTCTTCTCTGGCTGCTCAAGGATCCGAGTACCTGCCACAAGGTGATAAATTTAATTATCTCTTTCTCACCATTTTCTGATTTCATCTGTCGCCATTTTTTCTATTTTTCTTCATAAGATTGGTTGTTTCTCTGCATTACAACTGATTGGGTTATTATATAAGATGTGATTTATCTCACTTTGTGAAAGATTTGCCACAGCTCGAGATGTGAAACTCATTTCAGTCCTATGCGTTACCGACCGTCTAGAAAGAAAAAGTTTACTTTCCAGAAATATGTGAATATTTCCAGATCAGGAATTTTTACAAGTCTTCATGTAAATGGGCTTTTTTCTTGTAGTAGTTGCTTGCCAGGATCAGGAATGATGCTTCCATGTTCTTTTTCCCTTTTCTCTGTATGGAAAATGATTCCGGGATAGGCACAATAATTGAAAAAACTTGCTTGATAGCCTTCCTCACTGCACACTCGAGAGTGGATCTCTTATTTCTAGATTAAACTGCTTGTTTAACCGAAGGTTTGTTATTTTCAAATCTTTGATGAAACAGTATCTGATGTCTGCTGGTAGAATTTCCTTGTTTTAGAAAGAACCAAAGACCTTCAAGAACGTATCGGGGTGGCTTGCTTTACTTTAGCAGGAAAAAAAAAGAAAAAAAAACTAGATTTAATAGTCAGTGCTCTTAACGTGCTTAGGTAACCAGGATGTTGGAAGTCTATCAATCCAGAGAGCCAGGCGAAATTTTAATGATGTCCATATACAGATCCAGCGGACCTAGTGAACTAACTTTGATTTATGATTTTGGATTCTATCTAATTCACGTTGTTGCTCACTTACAGGTCATCAATAAGGTCACTCCTGTACTAGTAGACTTGGCTGAGATATCAACACTTGGTGACAACAAGAAGCTTGGCGACATGATCGTCTGTGTCCTTCAAGAATGCATTCAAACACTGGGAACTGGACATTCTTCGATTGGGAGCAACGCCAGGAAACAGATTGAGGAAGTTACAAATTCCAAACAGAGGTTAAAATGGGAAAAGAAGGTGCCAAAGGAGGATCTTCATATAAAGCAGGCTGCCACACTGGTTGTCAAGCTGGAAGGGAATTCTCTATTCTCGTCAGGAAATATAGCTGGAGCTGCATTAAAATACACCGAAGCACTGGCCCTGTGCCCCATGCGGTCGAAAAAAGAACGAGTTGTTTTGTACAGTAATAGAGCTCAGTGCCATCTTCTCCTGCAGCAACCCCTTGCAGCCATTAGCGATGCCACTCGGGCATTGTGTGTCCACAGCCCCCCTAATCGCCATGCCAAAAGCCTGTGGAGAAGAGCCCAGGCTTATGACATGCTTGGACTGTCCAAGGAGAGCTTGTTGGACGCTATACTATTTATCAACGAGTGTTCCCAGTCAAACGATCCTGACCTCTCAGTTAAACCGAATAAAATTCCAGATTATGCCGAACGGATGGTCAAGAAGCAGATGCGTGCAGCATGGTTATTCAGAGAAGCTGCCGAAAAGCATGGAGGTGTCCATTGTAATAGTGGTGGCGGTGAAGTTTGTGATCGGGAGGCTGATGATTCTGAGTGGGAAACAGCAAGTGAGAGTGACATTGGGAATGATGACAGAGAAGAGAAAAGTAACGAAGTCAATTAGTTGCGGGGCGATCATGGGGTGATAGATCCATACTGAAAGCACGTCAGTGAGATAGCAGGCAGATGTTCGGTAAGGCCTCTGGCGATTCCTTGCATGTATGTCCGATCATGATGTAATCTTCTCCGATCCCCAAACAAATGTGCGGTGTGTCAATCTGATAGCATGTGCTGTTTAAAATCTGGATTGTTAGTCTGTACATCTTATTATTGTCTGAACGTCTGCATCATCTTGACCGGATCTCAGTATATTCAATGTTGCCGCTCAAATATTCAGTGTTTTTTATTTTCTGTTCCAATAAACTCCCTCAAAATGTTTTTAACTATCTGATTATTATATGCCTCCTCCATACTACTCCAGCAACATTCATCAACTTGTAGTAATCTCCGTTGTTCTAAGACCCAACCTGCATGAGTTATCTTAACCTATGTGAGACAATCTGCACACGGCTGTGGTGGTGTGCCTCTCACCATTTTGGTAGTGAGCCTGCAGTCACCAGCATGGTAAGATCTCAATTTCAATGCCTCACTCTTTGAATTGTCAAAGGTCTGGATTAATTCCAAATGAAATGATTTTAGCTCTGCCCTACAAGACCAGCCCCTGTCCTTTCCTACTACTGTGATCCCCCAAGTCCTCTTACCAGCTGCTGTGACATCTCGATGACTAAATATAATGGCTTAGTGCTGATGTAGTAGATCTAGTTTGACGGTCCCAACCTATATCTAAAGTGAACATTTTGTTACTTTTGTGGGATTTCTGACTTGGTTATTTTTTATTTGTATTGATATGAGTTTCACATTAGATTGCATCTTCAACGTAAAGTCAACTCTGAGGAACCTAATGATGACCAAGTTTCTCAACGAGAGGGCGGTTGTTATAATCAGGGGTGTCATTTGAAGAGTTGATTATTTTAGTATGATAATTATGACATTGTTAATATTTTTATCTTTAAACACAATAAAGTGAAAATACAATTTTTATCTTTAAATACAAATTGATAGAATGAAATTGAGGATCATTGAAATGCTTTAAAATTAACTGACCAAAAATATTTAGAATCCCAAAAAACTTAATTTAAATATTAAAACAAGCGAGTATTGTGATAAGTTTGAAGTTGTTACATAGAAAATTTAGTGATAGGTAGCTATTATTTTATTTAATTGATCTATTGAAATGAGATAAAGGCTAAGAAGAAGAGGTGAGTGGTAAATAAGAGGGATATTTACTGTAAGAAAAAGGAGGAAATAGAAGTTCGATGATGTGAGAGAAGAATCAGAAGAAAAACACTCATGAAAGAATTGTTTAACAAAATCAAAAGTATAACTCTATCTATTTCAAACCAATGAATACTTAGATAGTTGTTCATGTGTTGAATGCATTAGACCCAGAAACATTTACCTCAGGCCTTTATATTTTGTCAAGGCCAGATGATTTTCTTTTTGAGTATACTTCTATGACGATCTAAATTGTGAATCTATACTTGAATCAACCCAAAACATATTTATAAAATGATGCAGAAACTCAATGTTATTTCATTTGAGTTGACTAAATGTTGGGGCCTTCAAAGTTAGATTTTTCACCCTTAAATAACAACTTAGATGTGTAAGGGTTTAGATGATAGTATGAGATTACACATTTAGGACTAATATCAGTATTTTCGTGAGCTAGTTCATCCAAGATCATCTGATTTAGGGTTGTGAGTGACTGTCTTTCTGCCACTTTGGCTGTGATAAGTTGGGACGAGAGTTGGTTTCATCTTGAGTTGATATGAAATAATAGATTTAGAAGTCTTGTCATAGTTGTAGGATCTTCCTTAGTGTTGAGATCTACTGCACCCTCAATAAGTATGATCTATATTAATAAAAATCAATTATGACAGTAAAACTCAGAGAAAAAATTCAAAAAATTCTTTGAAATATTAAACTTCATAAAAAAATAAAATAAATAAGAAATATTTTTTTAATATGATAACATGATAGATCATAAGATTTAAGTTATTGAATAGAATAATTCTTACGATTTTTGTATGATAATGAACATGTTATCACAAATCTAATAAACAACAAGATGCATAATTATGATGGTTAATTTAATTGACATCACTTGATTCACTTTTCTAATAAATTTTACAGCAAAATAGATAAAGATAAAGCAAGAACTTACAAATAATTACATATTTAAAATGAATACACACAAATTTCCCATGGCCTACATTAATGATCTTGACGAGACTAAATCGTATGGTCGTTGAATGCACACGATTCAGTGTCAAAACAAAGTCCTAATCTTACCAATTTATGATTAATCAAAGTAATTAATCAGTATAATGGTAATTAAGGGTCGAATCCACGGAGAATTAGGGAAATTTGAGAGATATCTTTGAAATTCGGTCAAATCGCACGATGAAATTAAGTTAGAAGTTGGGCAATTTAGTATATTAAGAAAGATAACTCAACTTTGAATCCACGGAATCAAAAATCAGGTGATTTGGATGAGAATTCGAAGAGTAATCGAAGTTTGAAGTTAAGAGAAATTTTCGTAACGCGAAATGATTAAAAACAGAAATTAAAACTAAATTAAACTTAATCTACAATACTTAAAGTAAAATTAACACTAAATGATGAAATATTAAGATGAAAAAAAACAATCTAACCCAAATTAGCCTTCGAAATGATCCAATTAATTGCCGGATGCAAGGCTTTTCATTCCGAATTTTCGAAGACGAAAGAGGAGTTCAAGACTTGATTTCTTCCAATTCTTTCAATCAAACATCCAAAAGAAGCGAAAATGAGTTGCGAACACAATGCAAAAAATGGCGCGCGAATTGGAGCTCTAAACAAAGAGAATTTGAAGATTGATCGCGGGCAGTTCTTCCGTCGCGAAGAACGGATTTTATTAAATTTGGAAATGATCGTGGCCGTCCGATCTGATGGAGTTTATCGCGATGGACGATCGCGATGAGACGCCTCTTCACGAATCGTTGCGATTCGACGATCGTCCGATCGTGATCGTGCGGTTAAGATGTGATTTGATGTCCATCTGATGTGAATAATCTGGACCGTTATAACTCTCGATCAGACGGTCGCCATTTATTCACTTAAGTAAGTATTTAGGCACGTGGTTGATCTCTGATCGCGTGGACCTCGATTCCACGTGATCTACGCACGCTATTTGTCGCGATGTCGATCGGACGCACGAGATCACGCCACGCGTCTTGCAATAAGGCACTTTAGTCCCATACGGGAAAAACAAAAGAATCTATTCGGTTATATAAGATATGACGATTAACTAATTCTTTGTCTACCGATAATCAGAAGACCAATATACTTTATTAAGTAAATATATATAGTAAATATAAATACGCTACGTGTCACCACCCCCGCGTGCTGCCACGTGGCCCCGACTACCACGTCGCATCCACGTGTACACGCGCGACATATAACCCCCTTTTTTTGCGATTTTTTTAATTAATTTAAAACATTTAAAAATCGAAAATAAATATAAATAAATATAGAAAAATTCCAGAAAATTCTAGAAAATTGTAAAAAACCATCTTTCAAAATACGACTCCAAATTAATTCAAATTTGTTTTTTTGGATTCAAAATTGAATAATCTATCAAATTTGTATTATAATAAGAAGAGAATAAATTTTAATTAATTTTATACTTTTATGTATTATATAAAATAAATACATAAATGTTAATAAATATCTTTTCTCTCATATTTTCACTCTTAAAACATGATTATGATCATAAATATAATTAGGATTAAAGATTGTAATGTGTAATTATTTATACTAATCCATAATTTGATGTATTTTTAGATCATAACATGAATTTACACAAAATGATAGAAAGATACTTAAAATATGATAACATGCATATATTTGTAATGATTAATGCCTTAATTTGAATTAATAATTATATAATTACATACATAAATAGCATGTTATCAGATATCATGAGCCTCAAGCTATTTGAATTTGACTAGTCTCCTCAAATAATAAGACTAAATGCTTGTTGTTCTAACCATTGAAAAATTATTAGGACTATTAAGCAAAATAGTGTCTACGGAATAAGTGATCAGTTTTTTTCAAAGTAGCCCCTCTTTGATTTAATGCTTTTTCTCTATCCCACGAAATGCTTAGTTGTGATACTATCATTCCACTAGATTTATAATTATGGAACTCATGACAAGTTACAAATATGCTTCTCAAATCAACTCATGATGCCAATATTAGCAAAATATGCTTTTTTCAGGTATATAAATAAGGTAATTAAAAAAATAATGCTCTATTTGAATTCCTTCTTTTTCCTTATAGGCTATATTATATGCTAAAAAGGTGGGTGATGATAAATTAATTGTCAATTGAGTTAATCATTATTTCATGTTTTTCTTATGAGTATTTGCCACACTAATTAGTTGAACGAGTTAACACACTAAATCGACATATTAAGGAATGACACATGTTGGATGTAGAAATGTATAATGGTTTGGTCTTCCCTTGATATATATCTAGTTTCTAGGGTTTCTACCCTTTAGAGATATACATGTTTTATCCAATATTCTCCTTTAGAGATATACAACTGAACTTTCAAGAACAAATGTAATTCTTATGTGATAGATTTCATGAGTTTCACATCATTGCAAGCACAAGAGACTAACTCACTTGTCCACCCTTCCTATAATCATCCTTCTAGAGTGTCTTTGTGTGGGAAATCAAGTTCATGAAATGACATTTTTGTTTTAATGTTGTGGGCACTTCAAGCATGTTGATGATAAATTTCTAATTTGACTAGTCTTTTGACTTCTATAGATGTGTCACATAACTTCTATTGACATAAGTTTTATTTTTTGATTTGTCAAAATATGATGCCTTTGCTAGAGATTCTAGCATGTCGTACATGTACAGATTTTATAGAAGAAATATGCGATTTCATATGACTTACCTAAGTTGACACATGAGCTGACATGCTTTCTCCACATAGGCCAAGATGAGAAC